AATAATTTAAGCTTTGTTAGTTCCAGGTTTAATATGTGCAATAAGTTCATTTCAATAAGTTTTGCAATAAACATTGAACCAGTCCGGCCCTTGACTAGTACCCATTTTTTTTATTTTGGCCCACTGTGTATTTGAGTTTGACACCCCTGCTCTACCAGGAAACATCAGAGAGGCCAAGTCAGTGCATGACATAGGTTTTTATTAGCAACCCCCCACTTTAAATGTTCTTTTAGTCTTTATTATTTACCTACTTTTATATTGCTTTATTTATTTTATAGGTTTTAATCTTTTCATTTGTATTTCTGTTGTACCTATATGTTCACTTTGTTTTATGGGGTTTTATATTATATGTTATATGTTATATTGTTGCATCGACTCTGTTGCCTTGTGTCTTATCTGTCAGAGAGAAACCATTATTTATTTTAATTTTATTTGTATTATAATACATTTTACCTCCTTGTGTCTATTAACCTGATAAAATACATTTGCAATACACCTGAAACCATCAGTCAGACCATCTTCCATGCTACACCATTGACCCTTTAACCCTGTAAGACCCCCGGTTGTTATTTACAACATTAGAAAGCCTCACCTCCGCCGCTCCGGTAGCACAGGTAGGGGAACCTCCAGATGTTGCCCAGACCCACCGCGTACCCCACGGACGCCAGGATGAACTCCATCCGGTTGTTCCATGTGGGTCTCTGCGCCTCTGCACTCTCCTTGCCAGTTACTTTGAAATCTAAGGGCTTTAGAGCAAAATCTCTCTCATCAGAGCCGGGGATCTTTAAATGTTCTGCACCGAGATCCATCGTGGCTAATTAGTGACGAGAGAAATAGTAGCGAATCACTGACTGTGCTAGACGGACATCCGAAAAATCGAGACAAATTGTTTCCGTTAAATAACCCAGGTATCAAGTTTCCCAAGGGGAAAAAAATCTATGGTGGTCTATTCAGAACATGAGGTCTCTTAACGTATGGCTACTTAATGATGAGGCGTAATCTTCAATGAATGCCTAAAACATGCGCGAGAATAAGGGTAGCCTTAAACACAAAGACCGGCAACATGCACGTGTAAAGCCCACCACGTTTGTTCCTCATGCACAGACTTGTCTTATGTGACTTACTGTTAGTGCATATGTCTTTTCCCATCCTTGTTGCTCTGGCTACTGTTAAGTAAACCGGTTTAAGGGACGCCTCTTTTCAAAATAAAAGCCTTGCTGCAAAAGGCAGTAGTGTTTTGACCACAGTTCAGTTACTGTTATTATCATCTTAAAGAGGGGAGTGATACTCTCATAAAATTAAATAATAAAAAGTCATATTAAGTCAGAGTGTCTGTTGTTTCTGACTTTCATGAAATACATTTTTTTTTAAAAACATGCTCTGGTAGGGTGAAACCTATAAAGCAGGGGACTTGATCTATT